GCCCGGAGTTCAGCTTTCATTTCCTGCGCCTCCATCGCTTATGTCTGTAGATTTTAGCACAGTAGACCGCGTACGATACGTTTATATGGAAATCTGTCACTGATTGTTTCATGTTAGCAACAGTTACAGGGACACGTGAGGTAACGCTAAAACCACAAAGAAACAGACCCAAAAGTGTTATTTGTTCACCTCTAGGGAGAATTTCCCTCACTTCCTGTCCCTGTGATACCCATACAGGAAATTAGGAGTCTGGTTGTCACCAATACAAGGAAGACAGTCCGTAAATAACAATTTTGTCAGCAGGGCCGGATTTCCCACAAGGCCAACCAAGGCCTGGCCTTGGGGCAGCAGGGAGTAGAGGGCCAGCAGGGAGTAGAGGGGGAGTAGAGGGGCAGCGGGGAGTAGAGGGGTAGCAGGGAGTAGAGGGGTAGCAGGGAGTAGAGGGGTGGAAGGGAGTAGAAGGGTGGAAGGGAGTAGAAGGGTGGAAGGGAGTAGAAGGGTGGAAGGGAGTAGAGGGGTAGAAGGGAGTAGAGGGGTGGAAGGGAGTAGAGGGGTGGAAGGGAGTAGAGGGGTAGCAGGGAGTAGAGTGGTAGCAGGGAGTAGAGTGGTAGCAGGGAGTAGAGGGGTAGCAGGGAGTAGAGGGGCAGCAGGGGTGTGGAATTCCTATCTCCCGATGCCCGGGACATACAGTTCCGGGGTCGGGCGGGTAGTTGTTTTCTACATTTAGCCCGGCTTTGGGCAAGCAGAGCTAATTGTACAGCGGGGAAGCGGGGGAGCCGCATTGAGGAACCTGGACTTGGGGCAGCAGAGAGAGTAAATCCGGCTCTGACCGTCAGATGTTCTAACCCTTCTTAATTACTAGAAATGCATTGTGTGTGTATGTGTCCTGTGGAGAGATGGGAAACAAATACATCTTTGCTATGCTCCTCAGCGCCATCTAGTGGCCATAATGCAGTATTACACCACAATACATTCCCAATGAAAAGAAAATATAGTAAGAATTTTCATTATTTCCATTATTCAGACAGAACGAATGTTCATCGATATGCACAGGGCGAACAGCTCTGTGAATTGTTTATAACCAGACCGCTAAGTGTCGCCAGTTTCTCTGCTATAGTGATGTTGAATTTGGCTGGGTCTGCATTGGGCACTTTACACCTCCCCCAGTGCGCGCAGAGACCTTCACATTGCTGCATTGGTGACATGCTCCATATATAAAGCCATGTGATCACCACGTCAGCACAATTCTGTGTGATCGCCGGGTATGGACGGTACAAGGCTGATCGTTTCCTCATTATAAGTCTAGACCTCATTGATTCCCTGGACGCAGAGGCGCTCTGTGTAATCTCAGCGTTCCCGCGAGGTCTCATTAGAGCGCGGCGTGTTTGTTTTAACAAGTTGTAATCCCGCTAATCAGATCTCACCCTCCGCCTGTGATCATCCAGAAGCTCAGTGTGTCCTTCCTTGGATTATCCCTGTCCTTCCTTTTGGAGTAGTATGTCTGTAGTCTCTGACCATCTCCTGTAGTATGTCTGTAGTCTCTGACCATCTCCTGTAGTATGTCTGTAGTCTCTGACCATCTCCTGTACCATGTCTGCAGTCTCTGACCATCTCCTGTAGCATGTCTGCAGTCTCTGACCATCTCCCGTAGTATGTCTGCAGTCTCTGACCATTTCTTGTACTATGTCTGCAGTCTCTGACCATCTCCTGTGGTATGTGTGCAGTAGTAGCATGTCTGCAGTCTATGACCATCTCCTGTAGCATGTCTGCAGTCTATGACCATCTCCTGTAGCATGTCTGCAGTCTCTGACCATCTCCTTTACCATGTCTACAGTCTCTGATCATCTCTGCAGTATGTCTGCATTCTCTGACACTTTTCTGCAACATTACATTCACTGCATATTACATGTGGCTCTCCAGTCATGTCAGGGGCCACACTTGGGGCCGCCTATAATAAGAGAGTTGATCAATAGTGCTGTGTCCCGCTCGGGGTTTGTGGTCATGTGACATTGACGTTTTTCGGCTGCTCACCCCTCACAGGCCGAATCGAATGCCCAGAAAGCGTCCGTGGATGCCGCCAGAACCACGCAGCAGCTAGAGGAGGTCATCGACAGCTTCCAGCAGCAGAAGATTAAGGATGTTCAGGTATTTATCATGTGCAGATCATTCTATTTCAGGTGGCCTTCAACGCCCTTTGATCAGATTAAATGCAGGACTGCGGCCATATGAAAGAAGCATCCTGACCCCGGGGCCACACCGCTGGGTTTAATTTGGGTCCCCTTTGTGTGCTCTGTGGCACATTAAAGTCCTGTTATTACGATGCACAATCCTCATAAGGTCTACAAAAACTTCCTTTACCTCCTCTGACTGAGCCAAACCATTTGTGTCTCAACCCTACCCTTCCCAGGCACTGCAGCTCACAGTGGGAGGGATTCAGCGTCAGCTGCCAATTCAGAAAGCAGTGGGCGGGGCTAGGTGTGGCCAGGTACTGATTGACAAGCTACATAATGGTAGCCACGCCCCCTGCAATATCTGCTCCTCTCACTGTATCTCAGAAAGCAGTGGGCAGGACTAGGTGTGGCCAGGTACTGATTGACAAGCTACATAATGGTAGCCACGCCCCCTGCAATATCTCCTCCTCTCACTGTATCTCAGAAAGCAGTGGGCGGGGCTAGGTGTGGCCAGGTACTGATTGACAAGCTACATAATGGTAGCCACGCCCCCTGCAATATCTCCTCCTCTCACTGTATCTCAGAAAGCAGTGGGCGGGGCTAGGTGTGGCCAGGTACTGATTGACAAGCTACATAATGGTAGCCACGCCCCCTGCATATCTCTGGATTCTTGGAGACAAGAATTAAAATGTACGGATTGTAAGCTCTCAGGATCAGGGCCCTCCTGACTCTTCCACAGCGCAGCACCCTGCTGGCCTCTCCAACCAGCTATGATCTGCCCGCATTGCATAGAGAGGGTTTAGAAGTAACAGACATTTAGGCTGCACTGACCCCCTCCGCTGACCGTCCGTTTCCTTTCTTAACACCAGAAAATCTTCTCGGACTTTCTGACAGTGGAGATGATCTTTCACGCTCGGGCTCTTGAAGTGTACACCGGCGCCTTCCACAGCCTGCAGGACTGTGACCTGGAGAAAGACATGGAGGTGAGAGCACTGTGGGATCATACAGCCTGGCACAGGGCATGAAACCATTTCCTGTACGCCGGGCCTGACGTGGCTTCCTATTGGTTCACTTTAGTCGTCTGATTTGGAATCCCAAGCATGTAAAAAGTTGACTCTTCTGCTGAGTTCCTCAGAAAAGTTTTAGTGTGGGATGTATAGAACATTGTTTTATTTTTCTTGTTCAGTTCCAGCCATATATGTGCATGAAGGGGGCAGACATATGTTCCCATGAGATAGCCACTAGAGGGCGCTGTGCACAGAAATGCTGCCCCTTACGCCCTCTGGTGGACGTTCCATAGCAATACATTTTCTCATCTAGGTGCATCAAAACCAGGGGTAGGCAACCTGGGCACTCAAGCTGACCGCCACAGGCATGACTCCCAGAGGCAGTTATACCACAGCTGGTGTGCCAAGATTGCCTACCCCTAAGCTGAACCCAAGGTTACAAATGTAATACATTGCAGCTCACCAGTCCTTAGCCGTGGTGGTTGCGTTCGTTTTCTAATTCACCACGGAGTCCTATCTCTTCAGCCGTCCCTTACCTCTTCCAGCAGGGGTGCAGTAATGAAGCAGGGATTCTGGCAGGTACTCATGTTACCACCAGCCCAGCTTCCTAATTGGATGGGAAACCTGGGAAGCCGCAGCCATGCTCTCTCGCAGCTTCTAAGGCACCGAGGACTGCGGCTTTTATGTGAGGAATGTAAGTGGCAGGTGCTGCTGCGCTCTGTATCGCTGAGCCGGTCAAACGATCTTTGGGATCTCTCCACGGGGCCTGCTGTGGTTTTGCACTCGGGGGGATTAGGTTGTGCCCAGACACGTCCAGCACGCCCCGTGCGCACGCCTATGGCTGGGACGGGGGTGGAGATAAAATACATAGGTTAAAGCATATTATTATAATATAACATATCATGAAAATATATTAAAATGCAATGTGCTTCTACTGCAGGATTTCCGGTCCAAGATCCATATTAACACCGGAATGCAAGAAGCCCGACCGGTCCATGCAACAAACCTTTCCTCCAATGCCACATGGAGTACGAGCACCATGGTGAGTGAGCAGAAGTACATTGTATATATTCCATACTCCTTGTGCCAAGTCCACGAAGGCCGGTAATAATCCCCTCAGTGTGAAGAGCCTGGCGTGACTCACCGATCCGGTAAGTGAGAAGGTTTCAGGAAATTAATAATGTAGAAGTATATCGGAGCACATTGCTGGGGCTATAAACCTTCACTACAGTCTGGGAATGTCTTATAAAACATTTTTTTTGTTTGTTTCTTAGAGTCTGCCCAGCATCCTGCAGAGACAGCCACATGTAGAAGAGGAGGATAGTGATGAGGAGACGGAGGATGAAGAGGACGAGCAACCCACAAGATTACATTATGCAAGAGTGAGAAAATAATCTAAATGTCAAGACTGTTATTCCCGTGTCCACAGTAATCCTGGCCCCCCTTGTCCACAGCACCGCAATACGGGTCTTAATACCCCTGTCCCCAGCACATTGATCCTAGTCCTGATCCCCATGTCTCCAATACAACCATCCTGGTCCTAATCCCACAGTGCCCAGCAATTCTGGTCCTGATACCCCAGTGCCCAGCAATTCTGGTCCTGATACCCCTGTCCCTATGACATTGATCCTGATCCCCATGTTCCCAGTATAACCATTCTGGTCCTAATCCCCCAGTGCCGAGCAACCCTGGTCCTGATCCCCCTGTCCCTATCACATTGAATCGTGTCCTAATCTCCCTGTTCCCAGTACAACCATCCTGGTCCTAATCCCCCAGTGCCCAGCAATTCTGGTCCTGATCCCCCTGCCCCTATGACATTGATCCTGGTCCTTGTCCCTCAGTCCCTGGTACAGTGATCCTGGTCCTGACCCCCTTCTTCACAGCACCACCATCCTGGTCTTAATGCCCCTGTCCCCAGCACACTGATCCTTGTCCTGATCCCCCATATCCCCAGTATAACCATCCTGGTCCTAATCCCTAAGTGTGCTGACCAATCCTAGTCCTGACCCCCCTGCCCCCAGTACAGTGATCCTGGTCCTGATCCCCCTGCGCCCAGATATCGCCTTGTAAAAGTAGCAGTGACACCATCACTGTGCTGCACATGACCTGTGCAGAGAGCAGAGCTGTGGAAGGGGCCCAGGAGGCTCCACCTACTTCAGGATGCCTGCAGAAAACTACAGGAGTGGGGCGGAGACAAGACCAGTTACCCTGCACAAGGAGAGAGAGCAGCAGTGAGCGGTCTTTATTACAGGAGGGGGCGGAGACAAGACCAGTCACCCTGCGCAAGGAGAGAGAGCAGCAGTGAGCGGTCTTAAGTACAGGAAGCTCGGAGTCTCACAAAGGATTACTGCACAGGAGGAAATATACAAAGCTCACCGAGATTCATGAACAATACATTGTAGCGGGACAATATCCCAGAACAATACACAGGACTCTGGTATGAGGACAATAATGAAATTTGACTTTTCGGGTCATGTGACTTGACGCAGCGATGGCGTTCCTCGGGTCGTCACTGGGCCGCTGTTAGACGAACTCCATTTTCAGCGATTCGTTCAGAATCACATGAAATGATTTCCACGTCAGTCAGCGGCCTCCAGAGATTTACCAATCTGCGCCCTGACCGCAGTTCCGCCGCCGCTCCTCCTCGGCGGCGGCCCCATGTTTGGACGGAGGGGATTTAATGGCGGCATTCTCACGTCTCTGAACTCCTGCCAAGAGCCGAGCGGCTTTGAAGGGAACGCGGCGGAAAGAAGTGTTTGTTTTAAGCGGTTTGTGTAAAAGTTAAACAGGAAAGCGGAGTGTGTATTTTTCCAGCCGAGATCGCCCTCGCAGGTCAAGAATCGCAGCGGCGCGCGGCGTTTCCATAATTACAGCGCGTATTGTGATGGAAAAGAGCAATTCACCATCTTCTCAGCCGGCTACAGATTACCACCACTTCTACAGTCATATAAATATCTGCTGCATTCCGAGGAGGAGGACGAGTATGTGTTCTCAGTTATTAAAGCTCAGCTCCACCCAAAATGTCAGCTGTCTGCCACTGCTGGGGAAATCACCATTGTGGGAGGGGCAGAGACACAAACTACTGGGGGAAATGTCCCCATTGTGGGAGGGGCAGAGACACAAACTACTGGAAGAAATCTCACCATTGTGGGAGGGGCAGAGACACAAACTAATGCGGGGACACCTAACTATATACTGGTATTGAGTAGTGGATGATACAGAGACAGATAATTAGGCTTTGAGTGATTTTTCCCATTCAGACTCCAAATTAAATATTTATTATAGTTGGACCCTTTTAAAGTGCAGATTCTATTATAGTTGGACCCTTTTAAAGTGCAGATTCTATGTAATGATGAAACAATCAGATCTTTTATTATTCAGTGTATTAGAATAGCACTGCGATATATTTTGGACTTTGTGTGCCTGTTTTGTATGTAAATAAAAATATTTTTTAAAGGAAAGTGTCTCAGTATTTGGTTGTGATGGGACTCGTCTTCTTTATGCATCACGCAGATCGCAGATCTTTAGGTCTGTGCAACGGCATACCTACCAACACAGGAAATCCCGCCCACCACCCACCTCAGGCCTGCCCAGTGACTGGATGGTCCCACCTAGACCACACCCACTTACTAGAATGACCCACACAAACCCTGCATCTAATTATGAGGAGACTGCCCATTCGTGGCTCCTGATCGCCATAATGAATGCCTTATTAAGCGGACAGTAATTTCCGAGTGACACTGTGATCCCGAAACCTGGCCCTGGACAACGCACCTTTGGGGCAGTGGTCCGAGATGCTGGACTCTCCTGGCAAATTCGGGACAATTGGCATCTATGCGCTAGTGAAGCAGTCATCAAACACTTGGTGTATATGCACATTGGAGTGATTTGTCGTTCATTTTTGATGGCACCCAGTGGCGTAACAATCATCATAGCGACCCAGGCGGCCGTTATGGGGCCCGAGGCACGGCAGGGCCCGGACAGGACATCTCCCTGATGCCATGCGGGCCGCCTGGGTCGCTACGGCATCTTGCTCGGACAGCCTGGCTGCTGGCTGTCACTGGCGGCTAACGCTCCGTTCCTTCTCACAGCCGCTGCTGAGTTGGTGACAACCAGCAGCTTCGCAGGAGGTGGCTGGGCCCGTCATCGGCAGTGATCGAGGAGGCGGGGCCCGGCGATCGAGGGGGCGGGGCCCAGTGACGGGGGGGTCGAGCATCGCAGGAGGTGGCTGGGCCCGTCATCGGCAGTGATCGAGGAGGCGGGGCCCGGCGATCGAGGGGGCGGGGCCCAGTGACGGAGGAGTCGATCGTGGAGGAGAAGGAGGCGGACAGAGGATCAGGGCTGACAGGTAAGAGGGCTTGACCGCCCGCCTGAGACCCTGCAGAGCCCACCTGGGTCACCCTTAGGTGGGCTGTTTGGGTTATCAGGTGGGCGTAACTAGAAATCACAGGGCCCCATACAAAATTTTGCTATGGGGCCCTGTGATTTCTAGTTACGCCCCTGATGGCACCCCAACCTGCATTTTCCTCTTCCACATACGACTGTCCCCTGTGTACAAAGCCAGCTCCATGGCCAAATGTATAAGGATCTCCCTCCAATGATGGACTTCAGGTGTCTCCAATGAAGGATCCGGTAATCCTCCCATCAAAGACATTGTAGACCATCGTCCTCTTCCGGCCTTGTGGTCACAGTTTGGTGAAGACCCTTTTCTGTCCCCCCGTGACTGTCCCTGTGTACTAGGCCAGCTCCATACAGACATGGTGTGACCAGTGTGGTGGAGGAACTCGAGTGTCCTGCACAGAGCTCCGACCTCAACCCCTACTGACCACCTTTGGGGTGAATTGGGACTCTGATTGTGATCCAGGTCTTCTCAATGGGCACAAATCCCAACAGACACCCTCCTAAATCTTGTGGAAAGCCTTCCCAGAAGAGTGGAGGCTTTGGGAGCCGTAAAGGGAGGCAACTCCATCCCACCTCAACCTAACCACTGAACCATCACATTCTCAAACAATTCATCACCACACAGATCCCTCCTCATGTATCATTTCCCCCTCCTCTTTCAGATTGTAAGCCCTCAGGGTCAGGACCCTCCTTACCATCTTGTCTTGAATTGTATTGTAATGTCTTCCTTACATTGTAAAGCGCTGCCAAAACTGTAGGCACTATATAAATCCTGTATAATAATAATATTAATGGCCTTTCAATTCCATATTGGGTGAGAATAGGCCGCAATGGTGAGGAGCCCAATCACAGGAAGGTGACAGGAAATGAGGGCTGATTAGAAGACTAATCATGGAAGGTGAGGAACGATGGGGGATGGTGAGGAGCCCAATCAGAGGTTGATTAGAGTTGAGAATCCATAAAGAGACGGTGTGACCAGTTTGGTGGAGGAACTCGAGTGTCCTGACCAGAGCCCCGACCTCAACCCTACTGACCACCTTTGGGATGAATTGGAATACCAATTGTGAGCCGGATCTTCTCATCCAACATCAGTACCTGACCTCACAAACGGGACAAATCCCCACAGAGACTCTTGTGGAAGGTCTTCCCAGAAGAGTGGGGGATGGTTTAGCCACAAAGCTCGGCTTCCCTGAACTTCCTGTCCAGTACAAGATCACAAGGGACAGAGCCGTCTCCGGCAGCTGTCCATCTACTAGCTTGGAGAAGGGAAGAGGAAGGAGAGGGGGCCAGGGGATAGCTCGCTTTGGTGTGCCTGTGTGTTTGTGGAGACACACACAGCTCACTAACACAAGGGTGGCTCCATATGACCCTGCAAGGGAAAGGAGCCACCTTAAAACAGCATATAAGGACCAGTGCTCAGGGGGAGCAGATGATTGCAGGAAACAAACTTTTATACATCAAGGATCAGCATCCATTGTAAGTGGTTCAATCAGCATTTGAAAACTCGCGGTATACTGAGCCTAGGGTGACGGGAGGACGCTAGTTTGTGTCCTCCCATTACCCCAAGGAGAACTATGGGGAAAAGCCTTAACCCCATAGTTCTCCTTTAAAACCTTTTTTGCCTTTTGTTATAACCAGCACAGTGTCCCCTCATCCCTCTGAAGCCTTGTTGACACCAAGCACGTTCCAGGTGCAGAGCAGTTACAGACAGGATCAAAACTGCGTCCAATGTATTCCAATGGTATTTTGGGCTCTAGTTCACACCGCAGCGTTCAGTTCCAGAGCATGCAAAAAAAAAACAAAAAACTGTAGCAAGCCCTCTTTTACCTGCTCTGGAACGCATACACACGCATAAACAAATGCATGCAAGCGCCCTGGAACGCACTGGAAGCCCATTTCAAACTAAAACAAATATATATTTTTTTAACCAAAAACAGCCCGGAACGCATCACAAACGCATCAAAAAACGCGGCACAACGCACTGCGTGTGTAGAAACTCATGCAGATCTGGTCTGCATTTGGTGTCAACAAGTCCTGAAGGTCAGACTCCGCAGTGTTTCCTGTGACACACCAGACGTAATGTTACATCATACGCTGTAATTACTGAGAACATTATAATTCAATGTGACAGAAAATATACAGATTTCCGGATTATTTATTGAGATCAATTATAAAAAATAAAAAAATTTACAAAATTACAAAACATACAAAAAAAAAAAGATACATTCCGTATTTACAGGATTCATATATGTGATTGCTTTGTGAGGCCATGATTGTGCAGTCGCTGCTCGGACTGCTCTGGTAGACGTGTGCAGGCTTTTGAAGTGTCCGTTGTACCCAGAGAGGGGCGCTCAGGCCTGACATGTCTCCCGGAGGGGGAGTTACAGTTTACCGATCGCCGATCTCTTGCGGGGAAACTCGTCCTCAGATCAGGAAGCTTTCTTCCACCAGAGTCTGAGACGAGAGGTTCTTCCTTCCGATCTGAGCGCGAAGAATCTTCACCAACTGCAAAAACAAAACCCGGGAGGATAACAGAACCGAAATCCCCAAAACTGCAACATTTGTATCCAATCAAAGACCACGTATGGGCCACGTGACTCCACCCATCAGAACCACATGGACACATCTACATTTCTAAAGGGTTGTGGACAAGAGAACACCAGAAAATTCGGATCCGGATCAATGTATTTATGTATGGAAATGATTGTAAAAAAAAAAAGCCAAAATCAGGGATACAATTATATGTAAAGACATTACAATGTATGCACATATTGCTGGGATGGTGAGAGCCCCTCATAATGGGCACAGCGGGTGTACAGACCCTGGAACTCAGCACAGGGATGGTGAGAGCCCCTCATAATGGGCACAGCGGGTGTACAGACCCTGGAACTCAGCACAGGGATGGTGGGAGCCCCTCATAATGGGCACAGCGGGTGTACAGACCCGGGAACTCAGCACAGGGGTGGTGGGAGCTCCTCATAATGGGCACAGCGGGTGTACAGACCCGGGAACTCAGCACAGGGATGGTGGGAGCCCCTCATAATGGGCACAGCGGGTGTACAGACCCGGGAACTCAGCACAGGGATGGTGGGAGCTCCTCATAATGGGCACAGCGGGTGTACAGACCCGGGAACTCAGCACAGGGATGGTGGGAGCCCCTGCAATGTGGGAACGTTTAGTATTATTACAGTGTACGGTGGATATTTAGGTAAGTAGTTCTTCTCACCATCTGAATGACGAAGGTCAGGATTGTGGCCAGGATAAAATTCTGCGTCCCCAGGTCTATGATGCAGAACAGAAGAGTATCGAAGAGAAGCAGGATCAGCTCGTTGCTGTAGAAGACGGCGCGGCTAAAGTGATAACGATCATCTGAAATAGAGGCGGATCAGTAAAATGAAGAACTTTTCACATTCTACACTATAATGTATCTCTGGTATAAGTGAAGGAAACTCTATGAGCTGCTACACAAAAGTCTTCAAGGAAATGAACAGCAAACAAATATATATATATATATTCAGATATATTATTGATAAAATGTTATTTATGTTACATTGAATTTTCACGTCAGGTATGGTGGCTTAGTGGCCCCTTCACCGACCTCCAGGACACAGTGGTGACGTGAAAGGCAGTGGAAGGAACCATTGAGTGTGAAGCAGGACACCAACACTCTCAGAAGGTGTCGGTGTTCCTAGGTATTTGCATACAGACTGGCCACTTGTGATGCTGAATCACCATGACTGAAAGAACTGAAATCCAATGAATGAAAGGGGCGGTGCCAGGGACAGTCAGGAAAGTGCTAGATGATGCCAGCCAGGAAATGGGGCGGGCTCTATCCGACTTGCTGCAGCTTCTAATGCACATTGTGAGAAGCTCCCAGTGTGCAGTGACATCAGAGGAGCCGGTACAACTGTGCAGAACTGAAGGTCGGAGGTCAGATAGAAGACTGAAAGGGGGGGGGGTGGAGGTCAGATATAAGACTGAAGGGAAGGACTGAGGTCAGATAGAAGACTGGAGGGAAGGATGGAGGTCAGATAGAAGACTGAAGGGAAGGACAGAGGTCAGATAGAAGACTGAAGGGGAGGACGGAGGTCAGAGGTCAGATAGAAGACTGAAGGGGAAGACGGAGGTCAGATAGAAGACTGAAAGGAAGGACGGAGGTGAGATAGAAGACTGAAGGGAAGGACGGAGGTCAGATAGAAGACTGAAGGGGAGGACGGAGGTCAGAGGTCAGATAGAAGACTGGAGGGGAGGACAGAGGTCACATAGAAGACTGAAGGGAAGGACGGAGGTCAGATAGAAGACTGAAGGGAAGGATGGGGTTCATCTTTAAATATTGATTTCTGGGGTGTCCCGGCAGCCCCCCTACATGGAGACACGCTGTGACCTCATTAGAAACGTATGGAGCTGCTCACCATTATAGAATATTGACTTGTCGATGGCTTGTTGGAATTCGATGTTAAGGACGTTCTCCAGGAACAGTTTGTTCTTCACCACATAATCCAAATCCTTGTAGACCTGCCTGGGGGAAGTGATCGATAAGAGACAACCACAGAACATAACCGGACATTCTGGGGTCACTCTCTTGTAGACACAACAGGAAGTGAGAGAAAATCTCTCCAATGTGAGGGAAATTTTCTGTTAGAGAAATGTCTCCATTGGAGGATTTTCCCTCGATTCCTGTTCTGGTGACAACTCATAATTTTCCCTCAATTTGGGATCTTGGTGACAATGGTCACCGAGATGGGTGAGTGGATCATTTATATGAAGACTGCGGACTCCTCCTTTAAGCTGCTCATACAATACAATCAGATCCTATAATCTGTACAATCTCCTTTATCAAAACTATATAAAGTGAGGTCTTTGCCGAACACTCCACTCCATGTATATCCAGCCAGCCTGCCGGCCACACTCCATGTATATCCAGCCAGCCGGCCACACTCCATGTATATCCAGCCAGCCGGCCACCCTCCATGTATATCCAGCCAGCCAGCCGGTCACACTCCATGTATATCCAGCCAGCCGGTCACACTCCATGTATATCCAGCCAGCCGGTCACACTCCATGGATCTAACGATGATTGTACAATCAGGATGTAATGTGTGTTGTCAGTATTACGCAATAGAACATACGTGACCAGCCAGCCGGCCACACTCCATGTATATCCAGCCAGCCGGCCACACTCCATGTATATCCAGCCAGCCGGCCACACTCCATGTATATCCAGCCAGCCAGCCGGCCACACTCCATGTATATCCAGCCAGCCGGTCACACTCCATGTATATCCAGCCAGCCGGTCACACTCCATGGATCTAACGATGATTGTACAATCAGGATGTAATGTGTGTTGTCAGTATTACGCAATAGAACATACGTGATCCAAGAAGGCCGAGAGGAACCGGTTCACCGTGTAGTAGGTTCTGATTCGTTGCTGTAATATCGGGTTCTTCTCATTCCCGGCTTTCTGACCTCTGGGAACCTGGAGAGAGAGAGGAGAGGTGTAATAGAAGGGAGGAAGAGGGAGAGAGAGAGAGAGAAGAGTAAGAGAGAGAGAGAGAGGAGAGTAAGAGAGAGAGAGAGAGAGAGAGAGGAGAGTAAGAGAGGAG